TTACAGATTTTATGCAGGTAAGAAGAAGAACAAGGAAAAAAAATTCCCTTAGGACATACCATAGCTGAAAGTACTATTTGTGTAACAATAGCAATGGTCTTTCCAACAGCAGAGGAGTAACCACTACAACAGTGTCAGCAGAGTGTTTTGGTCACACAAGTGATAAATGAAGATTTTGGTATTTTCATTAAAAAGTTTAAATATTTTTCAAATTCCTTTCATTGTAGGACAGAGGCATTTCATTTCCAGTGCTGTCCCATCAGTACTAAATCTGACAAAGCAGTGCTCAGAACAACAATCTGCTATTCACTCACATTCTCTGGAGGTTGAGTTTTAATTAACTGTATTTTCTGTAGAAAGCAAACAATTTTTCAATTCTGTAAAAAATTCTGGAACAAATTTATCCCATTAGCTGTGCTATATTAGAGAAAATTCTTTCTCCCTTCAAGTCTAAAGCCATGAGCCACTAAACTCAGTCTTAAGTGGTTTGCTTATCTCTACATTTTCAGCCTGAAATTGTTCAGAGTAAGGACTGTCATACCTTAAAAACAGATCATTTTGTGGAATGTAATTTTACACAGCAGTGGAGCAGTATAGAAAATAAAATGTCAGCCAAGAATGCTATAGCTTTATGATCCTGTATATATGCTGAAAGAAACACATTTTTTTCTTTGCACTCAGAAAAAAATTTTGCCAGCATATGCATTAAAAGAGGTCAACAGTCCTGCTAGGTGCTATTAATGCATAATGTTCATGCAGTTTTCATACTTTCCATCCTAGAGCAAAACTAATAATAAAGAGTATAAAAGATGGACTGAGAGAAAACTAAAGAATTTCATGGGGAAAAGCAGAAAAGTTTCACATGCAGTGAAGCAGGGGGTGAATCACTGGTTTGCACCATCACAGCCCTGCCTGCAAACCTTGCAGTGTGGCCAGAGCACAGCAGCTCCTGTGACACTGAGTGGCCATCACAGACAGGGGCTGGAACCCTGAAGCCTGGGAGGTTTGAACTTTCTGTTCTTTCTCACACTGACCCACAAATGAACATTGCTTTTGACCTGAGGCTTGGAGAAGGCTTCCAAAATTGAGGGATGGAGTTAGAATCCCTGGTGTGTAGTTTAAATGGAAGTGTGTAATATCACATAGTGAAGGGTTTGGAATTTGGGGTTTTAGAATATAGTAATAACCATAGGACAAGATGGAGGTTCTTGGGAGTTGCCTTTTCTTCTTTCTTGTTCCTTCTTCTTGGTTTTAGGCAGTAGTTTTTGGTTGGATAGAAAGTACTGCAGTACTTGCAGGTCACAAGTGTTTGGTCATTGAGTCAAAAGTAAAAATAATACAGATGTTAGTTTTTAATTGGACAGTTAAACCTTAAAAGACCTTGTAACTAGCAAGATACACCAACATTTTCTTGCTTTTAGCTTGTTAGCTAGAAGTACTGAAGAACTCACTGTAATATAAATAAGAATTAATAAACAACTAAGTCCAAACATGAAAATCCATCTCTCGTGCTTTCAATCCCAACTCTGACTAAAAGCAAGAAGAAAAAACAAAAACCAGCCACTAATAGACAGGCACTTCTCCTTCCCTGGATTACCTTCCCCTTATTCAGGATGGAAGGACTGTGTCATTGCTGCTCAGGGAGTTGATGGGGCTGACCCAGCAGAAAAGGCTCCCAAGGGGCAGCAGAGCAGAACCTTTCTTTGTCAGAGCCACCAGTGCCCTGCCAAGGGAGGGAGGGTGGCAGCAGCCTTGGCCAAGGAAGCACAGGACTGCCTTCTTAATGGGGAACTGGCTGGATCACCCCATAAAAATGAGACTTTTGGGCCCTACTAGAAAAAGAAAAGACCCTCCAGAAGTATTTTGTTCCAGTGTAGTTCTAATGAATACTCAAAAATTGTTTCAAAATTAATGGACATGTTTTAACACACTTTCTGAAACCTGGAAAATGAATGAATAATTACTTTGGCTTTGTCAATTACAATCAGTTTACATTTCTAATGTCTTCTTAATATCTTTTCTCTAAGTATCATACACAAACACATTTTCATAAAATGTTTTTACCTAGAAAATACCCTTGCAATGAGGTTTCATTGTGCTGAAAATCTCAACAAAGCAGAGTCTGCCTGTTAGCTCACATTAACTGAGTCTTTGGCTGATATTTCCATGGAAGGTATGCTGATCTTTCTAGTAGTGTCAATAGAATCACATTACTGCTCGAGTCATCATTTTCTAAAAGCTATTTGGCAGCTCACCATTCATCCCCTACAGTTAGATTCAACACTGTTTACAGCATCTAATAAACAGAGTTAGTTATAAACAGATGAAAGAGATTCTTCATTGTTTTTCATAATGTGGTTAATTTCATAATAAAATGCTGTATCTACTTAAAAATGTTACTTGTTTTTCCTTTGACCATGAATCTTAATGCTTTATTTGTGCTGAGTTTTTAGTAACAATAAATGCTTTGTCTGCTTGATGCAAAGTGTTCAGTGGTTTAATTAAAGGGGATTAATTGAATTTACTGAACTAATGAATCCAAATGCTTAGAAAGACAAGGTTAAAAAGTAGTTGTGATATTCTATTCCTTATTGTGTGAATGTTCACAATCCACTTCAGCACAAAGTCAGCCAGGTTGGATGGGATCACTGGTAAAAGCAGTTAAACTAACCTTGCTGACTTTACAATGAAATAGGATTTAACAACACCAATAAACAGCAGGATAATAAGAGCAGAAAAAAGAGCAGCTGGAGCACTAACAAAATGAATTATGGTGTCACAGCTGAGATTGATAATGAAAACCCCTGGACAGTAACTTCTCAAACTAGTACAGCTGTTTCCAAATAGCCATCTGTCTGGGCCCCCAGGCTATTTGATGTGTGGACACTCTTAGCAGAGCTCAGTTAGGAAATTACAGAAACAGTGTGATAATATTGAAAGCTGATGTGATATAAGCAATATAAACTTATACTGGTTTAAGAAAAAAATTTGAAAAGGGGCAATTCTGCAACTTTGTTTGAAGTGGGGAAACAGCTGTGTGTTGTAGAGTCCTAAAATAAATGATTTGATGACAGGAAAACTGTGAGAGTGGTTAAAAGGAAATTTGTTTTTACTTTTGAAACAATTGGCAAAGGAAGTCTTATTATTACATAAGTCTCCAAAACAACTTAAGTACAGTTTATAGAAAGATTAAATTTCTTCAGACACAGGAGTTTTTTAATCAATTCAGCTGTCAAATGACACAGTCCACCCTTAGCCCCTATTTTTCTTTGTTGCAGCATTTTGAGAATGGGTTCACCTTGTCCTCTGAAAATGATTTTGGAATTTTCACCTTTAAGATTTTACATGCATGAAGACTGCAAACAATGACTGTGTAATCATCTAATATCATATTCATCCCTTTTCACACTGGTATGTTGGGAATATATAGGTTTGTTTCTTAGAAGTGGGAAACATGCATCTCTAACTTTTACTGCTATGATGGACAATGGAATGTGTGAAAAAACATGCTTTGATGAGATGACAAAAATATTAACAAATTGAAAACAGAGTCTAAACCACAAACATGAAATTGCAATCACTTAAAAGGCATTAGCAAGCCTGTGAGGTCAACCTCTATAATTTTCTCCAGGAATGCAATTTTCCAACAATTAACAGTGACAGAATTAACTATGTATTAGAAAGAGAAAATTCATCTTTTATGTTTTAAAATTATAATGAGAATAATTTTATGACAGGAAATTTGAATTCACTGTTTTCAGATACTTAAACCCAGATATATTTGTGTTTTCTTTTAAAAAGAAATATGCCTACATTTTTTTACCAAGTCAACTCATAATAAACAGTAGTAGAGAGGCTATGAAATCCCACTTGAAGAAAACTTTGGTTGCTCTGACAAAATTTTCTTTATATGTCAGTCAGGTCTGCTGGGAGACAATTTAATGTCTCACTGATTTTATCTTTTCACATTTTTTGTGCATTGCTACTACATGATTTAATCTTCCAGGTCTAAGCTACTAAAACCAAGAATTCTACTTCCCTTATTGCATAAGACCACCCCATATATATACACACATATAAACACATATATACCCTGTTGTGATGTATATTTTTGTTCCTCAGAATTAATTACTTCCAGCTATAAAATATTCCTTGGGTAATTTCAAGGATTGGTAAATAAAACCTGATATTTCATAGATTAAAACTGCAACATAAATATAAATAAATATTTGGAGAATCTACAGAGCCCTTGTAACAAACTCTTATCACCAAAAAATGATCACTTTCCTGTAATTCAGGGCAAGGATTGGCCCTGTGAGAGCACACCTATGACAGTGCCATCAGACTGGAGGGCACACAGGGCTGACTGCCACAGCATCACCTTCCCTCTCTTCAGCACCTGAACAGCCTCACACCTTCTCAGCTCCTGCCCGGGCTGTGGAGGTCACTGCCCTGCACGGGTCAGGGCTGTCAGCCCACAGAGGCTGGGAAAATACACATTGCTCCAGGGAAAAGTGAATCCTGCAATGGCAGACAACGAGGCTGGGCAAATAATCATGATTTGATGATCATTTGTATGCCTAAGTGAATGGTAACTTGGCTCTGTCAGTAAAACCTTGTCCACAAACAGGCAAAAAAATAACACATCACAGTGGCAGCTCTTGAAGCAATCTGGCTTTATTTCCCTTGGCAATTTTTTAGGTTGTTTGGGTTTGTTTGATTTTTTTTTTTTTTTTTTCTTCCAGAACTGAAAGACCAATTTCTGCTGTAAATATCTACAGGAAAGTGCCAGCAAATTGTCATAGTTTTCTGGAATTATTGAATTTAGGCCCTATATTGTATTTTTCATTACCACTTTCAGCTGCACAGGCAAGTCAAGTAGAATAACTATTGACTGTAAAGAAACAGCCAAGCATTTCCACCAGATATTACCTTCTCTCTCAGGATTACTGTCCTACTGTGTGGCCTATTTTTTAATACAACTCAAAGTAAAAAAATTCAACACAATGGAAAAACAAACCAACTAACCAAAAAAACCCACAATTTAATTCACTTACCTTTGGCTTCCTGTTTAGCCCAGAATTTTTTCACCACCACAGTAATGTGCCTCTCCTCTCTCAGCTTCTTTTGCCACTGACGTAGCTCTTGTATTTCACTATCACAACGAACCTGTGAGAGGAGAATCAGAAAAGAAAACTAGAATTATACACCTTTGTGTTATCCTGGATGAGGATACCATTTTTTTCACAAGGCTGTGGCTGGGCAAATATGTGACAGCCATCCTCTGCTGAGCCTGAGGTAAAAGCAAAATCCCAGTGGTTTACAGTTTTCAGCTTACACAGAAATAAAATCCACATAATTGACAAATCCAATTGAAAACATAAATATGTCTATTAGGGGATCACTTTGATTACCAAGGATTCCTGAGAATAAGACTGCAGTGAGATGCTAATACTTTTGAGTTAAATAAAATTTAAAGCCTTATACTGAAGGGTATCAGTGCTTTTAGGAAAGCAACCCACTGACCAGAATAATAGAGCAGAGGAGGAGCATGAAGGGTCATACAGAAGAAAATTTATTCCATCAACCTGATTCACACCTGCCATCAGCTGCAAATAGGCTGACTGGCAATCCCACCCACACAATTTTCACAAACAGGAGAGCCATTAATCTGTTATTTAAAGTAATTGGACTGCATTACATGATAGCTATTCTTTGTCAGTCAATCACCCCGTGAAAGGCATAATTCTGCTTCCACAAAAAATTACAACAAAGGCCTTGATTTCATTTAGATGTAAGTTGAATTTTTCTAATATTGTTTTTGTACTGGTGTAGTTCATACTAACATAGAAGTGAACTAGCTCTGCATCAACAGCTTTTATCACTCTGCTACTTACACTTGTTGTAAGCAGGATTTGATTAATTAGCAACGTGTTGCCCATTGTTGACACAATTACTGCACGAGACACTGTCCTGAACAGTAGTGGAAAGGGACATGCCAGTATTACCTTAGACACTGGCATTATTGTCTTTGAGTAACAGTCAAATTGTAATAGAATTATTTTTAAAATGCAGTTTGTGGGGTTTGGAGTTTTTTCCCTAAAGGTTACATGTATAAATGTCATTATGTTTGAGGACTGCATTTAGAGAAGCTGTGGCTGCCCCATCCCTGGCAGTGTGCAAGGCCAGGTTGGATGGGGCTCTGAACCACCTGCTCTGGTGGAAGGTGTCCCTGCCCACGGCAGCAGGGTTGGAACTGGATGATCTTTAAGGTCCCTTCCAATCCAAGGCATTCCATGATTCTAAGATTCAATGTCCTAGTCATTCAGTCTGAAATGGAACAATGTGGTAGAAACAAACAGCAATAAGCTCAGTTTCTCCTGGACACATTTTTGCTTGCAGGAAGATTACCACTTAGTTCCCTAGAAAATTTCTAAATAAAATTGTATTTATTGTATTCTTACAGGATATGGAGAAGAGCTCTGTGACTTGAACTCTATTCTATGCTCTTCTCCATTACACTCTGCTTTTCTACCACTTTGCTAAGACACATACAAAGCAAAAGAGCATGACTTAGTTTTCCACTAGTTATAAAAAAACCTCAAACCTTAAAGATAACAGTATAAATTATTTATCAAAAGTATTCTTTCCTCCCAGGATTTCTCCTCTGTGCAGCAGCAAAGAATGCAATAAACAGTAGCTGAACTCCCATAGCACTTTTCAATCCACCTAGGAGAAGATAACTTGCTGTGTTTCACACAGTGCACTGGCAGAGCAGAAATACAATACAAGGTTATTCAATCAATAAAAACAACCAAGACTTTTGCTCAGTGATTTGAGATCAGATACATCTTAGACCTCCAATAATATTCCATTATACTGATATAGTTCTATAGTACCTTCTATAAAAGTTATAAGGACTTCTTACAACGTTGCTATGAAATTCTAAAAATTAAAGAAGTTAAAATTACTAGTGACATCTTCAGCTATACAAAAATAAGGTTCTTTTCTATTAAATCCATGAAATACTGTTTGCAAAAATAAAATGTAATCGAAACACAGGATAATTTCTTCGGGCTTGCAAGAGACATTTTTTCTTTTATGCTGCTATGTATGCTTTTATATGCCAAATAATTCCTTATTACATGGAGTCAGTTTGTCTGCACAGGAAAGGGTTAATAAAAGGCTTATGGGACACAAGCACATAAATGACAGAAGTGCAAAAGGCACGGAGATAGAGAAATTACGACCTCTATATCTAAATGTAAAATTTCTGAATACATGATGTGTCCATTTACAACTTTAGCTGTGTAAGACCTGTATTTCGGCCCATGACATGGCCACAGTTGTTTCTGTATACTGAAAATAAAGACAATAATTCTTAACTGTTAAAAGATGAAAGGCAAGTATAGTAGATTATGTAGAAATTCCCCAGGCAAATAAACCAGTGACAGTGCAGTGAAATACAGAGTGAAATACAGAGTTCTGAGGTAAAGGCAGAGTCAGATACTCAAATACTCCAAAGTCAGCATTAAATCTAAACAGTAAAATGAGCTCCCAGAACAAAGTGTCTTTTTAGAAGAGTGACCCAAAAAAGGAAAAAAGAACACAGATATGCCATCTGCAATAAAACAGGTAACAGGAATGTAACAAAATATATTTAAAAGTTCCAAATCGGCTTAATAGATTATAGTTCAGCACAGTTATAACATAGTTTAGCATACTGATAATTCCTTAGAAAGCTCTGTTTTGAAACCAGAGTGCAATGCTAGCATGATGAAAAAGCCATGATTTAACAGTAAAATCTCCAGGCAAATAAAGAGAGAGTCAAGAATCTTGTCCAAAAAACTGGCATGTCTCTCCTGCAGACCAGCATTGCCTGAAGCCCTGGAGGGCTCTGAGCTTTGAAGGGAGAGTTCACTCCTACACTTGCTTAGGAAATATTTGTGTGGCCTTCTGGGTTGAAGCCTTTGCTGGTAGCCACAGCTTGCTGCAAAGAAATATAAACTGTGATAGCAAAAGCACAACTACACTTTGCAAGATACAAAGCAAAATTGAAGCATTTTTATCTTCAACTTTTGCTCAAAGGACCTGTATAAAATAACAGTGAATATTTACATAATGCTATCCAATTTCAACTCTAGGATACTACAAGATTTAGTCAAAAACCCCTTTGCTTTCAGTGCTAGGTGAGAACATGTAGCACAACAGATAAGGGTAACACTAAAGGTTCACCCACAGGCATCAGAGGAAATTCTATTAATGAAAAAATTCAGTTAGTCTGGAATAGTTATGCAAATTTTAAAGATTAAAAAGACATCATTAAAAAAATGGCACTAAGCAAAGATTCTGCAGTAGAGGGGTGAAGGAATATATCATCTTTTGTTGGAAAAGTGCCTGGAAAATTGACACCTAGCTGAATAGTGCCTTGGCCCGTGACAGATGAATGGAACCTCAATGAAAAAGGATGGTGGAAAGTGAAAAGGAAGAATTCTGATGACAGAGCTGTCTTAAGTCTTACTTGAGTGCTCCTGCTGGCCCTCTCAAGATAATGTCTTCCTTTGTGTGATCTCAGAGAACTCAGCACTTGTATTTCCCACTGCTATTTGTTCTGGAATTCAGTTCTTGAACATCCATGTCTTTGTATCAAAGATTGTAGCAAGGATTTGGTTGATGGCAGCCATTAATTATTATTACAACAATTAAACAAGTGTTTTTCTGAAATGTGCTACAGATAAGGATGAATTTACTGTTTTGATCATGCTTTGCTATCAGAGATCTCAAGATGTACCTATAGCTTTTTTCCCCCCCTTTACATAGAAAAATCTTTAATGCAAAAAGTCCATTTTTGCATTTATTGCCATGTGGTTTTGATACTGGCATGCTCAGACAGCTGGAAGTAGCAGAAACAAGTGAAGTATCAAGAGAAGACATGCTGCTCAGTCAGTTATATAACTAGATAAACTCTGTTGCCTAAATCAATATGGTCAACAAAATACCTCAAAAAATGGTCTGAGTCCATAGAAGATGTGTCTCAGAAGACCAAGGTTGAAGTACCCTGTCTCTCCATCACAGTGTCACAGATTTGTGTGCTCATGTTTAATTAGCCAGTATTACCACCCTGTGTAAATTTTTGTTTCAAAAGCTGTATTTCAAAGTTCTAAATCCTCTGAATTATAAAACAAGGTTTAATGAAAAACTTCAGAAAATAGTTTAAAATTTTGACACAATAATATCTTTAGAATGCAAATGGCATTATTTGTAAATATTCAGTTATTATCCACTATTAACATTAAATCAGGATTAGCTGACTGAGTGATTTATTTTAAAAGCAAATAATCTGAATTCTTTGGTAATTTTTCATAACACACTTATCATTAATGTGATGAAATCCCATTTAAGTTTAGTGTTCTCTTAATCTGCAAGCCCAAGGATAACACATTGCCCTATGTAGTAATTTGTTACTAATGATTTTTATTTTATATTCTGATTGCAATTTTTAATTTTTAAAACCCCATGTTCTTTCACCTCGAATAAGGTAAAACATTAATAGCTAATTTTATAGCCTGAATTATTTTTTATGTCTCCTACCTTTTATAGCTAGAGTTTCTCTCTCATTTCTGGGAATTGGTTTAGAATGATAAATACCAGTGTGAAAATCCTGAAGTTCATCTATACAAGGAAGGATTGTGCCCTTCACAAGCTTTCAGAGAAGCAGAAGATATCTGAGCAACCTTGCAGTGTTCAGCAAACATAACTGTTATTGGATAATGGTTGCCTCCACTGTAAGGATGCCTGCAGGGATACTGTCACTGCTAATTAATGTTAGTGTCAATGCTGTCTCTGTTTAAAAACAGAAAAATAAAGGAAAATGAACAAAGCAGAAAGAGCCACAAAAATCTATCAGTCAAGAGGAATATTTCGAGGTATTTCATCATCTCTGGCTGCACAGCACATTATAGGAGCCACTTATATATTCATGCTTGTTAAAAATAGTAGAGAACTTAACAGACAGTGTTTTATACTGATTGTTATTTAAAGAACACCTGACATCCAAAGATGTCTCACTGTCCATCACAACAAAATTGTTGCTACATCTGGAGGCTACTTAGAAGCTTAAGCTTTAATAAAGAAAGTCAAAGTCATTTCTTCATCACCAAAGTCACCTGAATTTCAAATAATTTCCTCCTGAGGTGTGAAGATTAGAGCTTTTTTAAAATATATTTAACAGAACTTGTTCAGGATTTTCAAAATAATTCATTTAGTATCCTCGGGTTAGCATGGCTATTATCCTCCAAAATAATAGCACTGGACAATTTTCTTTGTATTTATTTTATGCACCTTGCTTTTCCTCTTTAAACTGGGAATGGCACTAGTGCTGTGGTCTAGTATGCCTTACAACATCTGCTTGTCATTTTGTTTCCCTTTTCCTTGAACAACAGCCTTCATGCCTCTCATAAATCTCCTGTCTCACTCTTGGTCTCAATTCTTTGTCCTTTCTTTCTGTATGCTTTTATTTCTCAGCAGACCTCACCAATCCTCCTCAGGCATCTCCACATTCACTCACATATCCCTGCATGAAGCAAAATAACACTCCATCCCTGAGAACTACCCAAAGGAACTTTCAAGTGAAGAAAGAAAATTGTTCAGTGTTAATTGTACTTTAGAAAATCGAATTTCTGTGGATTTTTTGTGGTTGAGGGAAACAGTGAGATTACATCAGCATAAATGCCTGTGAAAAAATTGTAGTCACTAGGCATAAGGCAGAGCAACATCCAAAGCCAATGAACCATAGGGGTCTCAGCAGCTATTTATAGTATCCCCTACTTAAAATTTATGTAAGGATTTTCCCCAGGGCCTTCACAGTCCTACAGTTTTCAACATCAAGCAAAATAATTATAGATTACTCTTACCCGATAACCTCTCCAGAAGGACTGAATTAGTATGCTTGCTTCCTCTTCTGACAGTAGCAGAGAGAGAGGAGTTGGTGGTCTAGGACTTAAAAAAATTGTTTTTTTTGTTAAACAGACAGCCTATAAATGTAAAACACTTTCTTCCCTAACAGTATATTTGATGAAAAAGAGAAATGTTGTTCAGGAGCCTGAAAAACACAATTTCTTATTGCTCTGAAAACAAAATGCACAAAGAATATGTGCTTTACAAATATACTGTTATATACACTACAATAATTCCTTTTAAAAGCAATAATTAACAAATGGCACATCAAGCACAGCCATATTTCTTATCTTTCTACATGTATTTCAAACTGCACCTATTATGGTAAGGTTTGAGGGGGCAGTGGGAGGTGGGCAAGTAAAGCAGTCTGCAAGTAAAGCAGGGAAGGTTCTAGTGTGTGTGCAACAATGAACAGACTTAATTATGTAAATTTTTATTACATTAAATACACAGAATAGAAACATATCTTAGTACAGTCATTTACATTACGTTGTCATTTTCAATTTAAACATGCTGAAAAATAATGATGATCATATCTGCATAGCATGAATACACCTTTAGAAAGGTCTAAAGTTCTTAAAATGCTGAAATTTTACTTTTGATATCATATACACCTTTTTTTTGGTGATAAAAGAATGTAATTCATTTGTGAACTCAACCATTTTCAGCCAAAATATATGGTAGTTAGAAAGCACGTTTGGTGATTCTGTTGCTACTAATTTTAATGGGAACAAGCTATTAATTAAATTCAGCCATCTAGCAAAATCTCAAATGACTATATCAAACCTTGCTTCCCAAAAGTCATTTTCTATGGGTGTTGATTTATTTCTCAGACACGATGATTAAAAAAAAATCATCTATTGGAGAGGACAAAACAAAATTTTTTTCTCGACTGCCTTTTGTAAGAAATGTAATTTGCAGCCAAAGAACTATAGGGTAATAACACTGCAAGTCATGAAAATACCATTTCTAAAGAAAAGCATTGGCACAGCATTAGAATGGCTGCCAAGAGCCACTCTCCCTGCATGGGGAACAGACTGAACACAGCCTTGACTTGGAAGAATAACACAATTTGATGAATTTGGATGCAGCACCCACCTACAGACACAGGCAGCCCATGCAGGAACATGATCTATAGTATTTATATTATAAAGACATGTACACTGCAAAACCCATCAATAACCAGCTATTTATTTATGCAGTCTTACATTTTCTGACTAAAATGCTGCAATATCTTTTGGAAATTTATTTATGGCATATTACAGCCCAAGTTAGGAGGCTTGACAACTTACATTTTCCTTTCCCTTAATTTCATTCATATTAGTCTCTGCCCTAGTAAGCTTCCTATGCTCTCTGATGTCTTTCTCTTAGGGCTTGTCTTCACTGCAGGAGCAGTGAACTTAGAGCACAGCCTTACCTCTTATCTAATGCTACACTGACTCCACCGTTTTAGTCTGTGTACTCTGCTAAATTAGTCTCATCATCATGTCAGTTGGGTTTTGGCCTACATTTATTTTAATGTGAAGTAAAACCTTGGTCCGTTTGGAAAAGTCAAAATAAAGCAAAAATAAAAAGCAGTCTCTCCATTGAGTTAAACCGCCCTTAGTTCTGTGTACATTAATTAGCATTTCTCCTGCTCAGGGGAAATCATAAGTGCTGGACAAGCAAGGCTTCCTCAGATAACAGCTTCTTATAATCAGACTTAAAAATCTGAAGTTGGACTGGGCTGGTTTCCCTGATAGGCTTTCATCCTCTGTTCTATTTTAGATCTTTTTGAAAACCAAAACTTAGGGAAAATCACAGGAAGACCTACATATTTTACAGCAGTTACATCAAAGACACTGAACTTCTCTAAGAATAAGTACATCTCCAAAGAACAACTTGAGATTTCTCCTAGCCTGCAAGGTCAACTCTAGCATTTCTTTGCATTCATTTTCAAATTATAAAAATTTCTATCTTATAATCCTACACTAAAACTGAGAAAGCAATATAAAAAATAAAGCAAGAACAGGATTTGATTTTTAGTATGACAGCCACTGGCAGATATCAATCCTTTCAATGGCACAGATTTAAAGAGCAGATGTCATGCCAGGTCCAGTTTGGTCTAAGGGAATAAATGGAGAATATACACAATTGTCTGCAGGTCAAATAAAAATAGAATCTGAGCAGAGGAAATCACCCCTCAGCAGTGAATGAGGGAAAGAGGAGTCTGTCATTAGTGGCAGCAGACAGCTGTATGCCTCCAAGATGCAAACTGACAGCACCATGTACACAAACTATATTTTGATTTAGTCCTTGATTATGCACGATCTTAAAAGCCCACATATGAAATGGGGATATCTACTTAGATATACATATATTGTTTAACTAAGTTGCACCTGTAAAAAAGAATCAGAAAAAATGATTTTTCTTAAGTATTTTATTTTACCAAATCTGCATAAAGCAGACACTGACCAAAGTTAAATTCCAGAAACATGATTCTTGCTTTCTGAGCAAACTTGTACAGATCTTGATTCTGTGAGATATGCACTACTCATATGACATCATGCAAGTGGAATTTCACACTCAGAAGATACAAATAGACTTCCATTAAATAAATATAGGAGGCAATGAAAAAGATTCTTAATGAAGATATGTATCTGATTTCCTCATGGACAGAAGATGAGGTTCTCAGTGAATTCTGAAAAAGGGAGGCAAAGATTCCCTCCATTATGTTGTCTCCAAAGCAGACAAAATAATCTCTGAGGGTTCATAATCACGCTGATGGGCACTGAATTCAGGCAGTATTTCCACACAGTAATGCCCAGAAACTCTGATTGTCTTCACATTCCAAATCTTTCTTATAAATAGGTCTGATTCCTTCCTTGAAAACATAATATAAGAAAAAATGTAACCAAGAAAACTTTCAGCATATACAATTCAGGGTTTTGTAATGGCTCTTGCTGTTCCAATCTGTTCCCTAACAGTAGCAGACAACCCTCAGATTTAACCAGCAGCCTTAGAGCCAGGAGCCTGCAGAGAGCAGCAGTGCCTGGGGCTCAGGTGTGCAGGTGAGAGCAATCTCCAGGTGCAGTCACAGAATGGCCTGGGCTCCTCTCTGTTTTTAGGAAAAACTCTTCTCTAGAAATATTGAAGCAACCCTAAGGAAAAGGATGAGGCCTCCTAAGTTTCAATACAACAGCCACATTCACTTCAAGTTTGACTGTGATTATTATTTTTCTTGAATATTTAGATCATGTACAAACACAGGCAATGACAGAGTCACTGAAAAAATCATAATCTAAAAGAACAGACCACAGAATAGGGGTAAATATAAGACATGCAAGTAAATTACTGTGGTGCTCTGCATAACTCTAAAAAGGATTCTGAGAAAGTCTTTGTTTTGGGAAATACTCAAAAAAAAATCACATGCTGGTCTGAACAACGAAAAAACTGCTGGAAATTTCTCAAAGTAGTTATCTTTCATATGTGCAGTATTTCTTATTCCTAATCATAGAATCTAGAAACACTACAGCAACAGCTGCCTTCTTTAGGTCTTCTTAGATGCCAATCCAGATCTCCCAAAGTGTGTAATAATGAAAAAGTAGTGTTTTGATTCAAAATAAATGTCTAAAATAATCTCTGCTTATAAATACTACTAAGGTCATTTACCCAAAAAGCAGGGAAATGGTGGTTCATAAGCAAGCAGACACTGAAGTACTGATTCATCTGACCTGGTATTTAAAAGCAATTACATATATTGATCAAATATTACACGGGCTCTGTATAAGCCTCTCACATTTCCAAGGAAATATTCCCACAGACGCTTGACAAGAATACCCTGGAACATTTTCACAGGTCAAACAGAGTGTGAACTGAGACCTTTCTTTGTAACATTTTCAGTATTAATACAACTATTCCATAGCCAGAAATAAATTCCTAATCACTAGTTTTCTTTTGCAACAATCTAAATGCACTAGAATAAGATTATTTGCATTTGAGGAAAATAAAAATCCTTACAAGAAAGCATTTTAATGCATTATACGGAGAGTACATTTTTGAAGGATTATAAATGTGGGAATAACCAAATTTAAAATTAAAAGAGGAACTGCAACCAAGTAGACAAAGTGTGACTAATTAGCAGGAGTCTAAACTCCTCTATCATCTTGTCCAAATAAAAGCTCCTCTTGACTGTCAATAGTGAATTGAATTTTAAATAAAAGTTATAAATTCATTTGATAGTGTTATCAAAGTGACCATAGTGATAATATGCATTCATCTGTTAAACACATACCAACTATTTATATACTTGCTTATCTATTTATAATGAAGAAAAGACATGACAAAAAGACAAGGCAGTGTGGAACTGACATGACAAAGTTTTTATGTGGGGAGGCAGAGTCATGTAACCAACAGGCGACTGAGGCAGAACAGGTGATTTGCACCAAGAATGTCAGAGGTATTAGAGGGAGCACAGCAAGAAATCTTTGTAATGGGAACATGCCAAAAAATAACAGAGCAAATATATTTGTCTTCACTTCTGTCTGAAAATTACAGTGGATTTCTTGCCTCAAAACATTTTCCTTTGGAGGATGTGCCCATTTTAATGCCCCAGCTCAGCTCTCCTGTGCTTGCATACTGCTACATTTTTTGGAAGTCACAAAGCATTGCCTCAGCTTTGTCTCTCCTAGGAGCAATATTTATGTAGTCTGTGAGAGTGTTTGTGGGCCTGGACTGAAAGAAACCAAACATGGATCTATTCCAAAGGCCACTCATGTCAATGGGAAAATTTCCATCTATGTTTGTGTACTTTAGGTCAGGCTTTGTAAGCTGAAAACACGAAAAACTCCCCTTAGTGCTCCAACAGCAACATTAGGAAGATGTCACAAAGCACTAATAAGTTTCCACATTGCAATTTTGACAACCTTTACATAAATTAAAGCATTTTTAATGCATCAGATATTACAGCCATAAAGCACCATTACAAAAGATAAATATTTTACACAAAAAATTTCTGCAGTCTTTCAACACACTGTTTTTAAATAAAAAATCTCTCCTTTGTTAAACAGAATTCTGCCACATTACTTGAAGGGCACTTCTTACTTGGAAACACACAAAATAACATCCACAGAGATGTATTTGTTGGACTTTCCTTTATTACAATAAAATGTTATTTAAAGCTCAAATGATTAAAGAAAATTAAAGAAGAAAACATAAGGCAGATCAAGCATACTCCAAACATGGCTGGTTTAGACACAAACCAGTGAAATATGGCAGTGTGCAGAAAGCACAGCCTGTAGAAACTGGGCATATTATGGAAAGAAAAAATTCAGTCACCCGTGCAAAATTACCCCTATTGGCCATCTGAGAGCTGACAATGAAGTCAACTGTAAAGGCAGCTGAGACCAGCAGACTTCACCCAATTAAAATATCTGGGGGAGGGAGAAAAAATAATCAATGTATATATATGCATATACAGATATTTGGCAAAAAGCCACTATTCCAAATTTAGTATTCATTTATATCTTAGCTGCATACTTCAGTAAAGCCATAATAAAGTTATTTTCTCTGTGTCTGTACACTTGTTTTAGTACACACAAATAGATTAAACCAGGAAATGTGTCCTTCTGAACTAGGTAGCAAGTAAATATCTCTAATAAAAAAGGAGAAAATGCAGATTAAAAAAAATCTTTTGAATTATTTTTTATGTGAACTTCAAAAACCAGGAAATACTTATGCTTATTCCTAACATAGGTGCATATTCCATATACCACTCTCTCTCATGGGATGTAAAGTCAAGGGTTATGTTGAACAATGCTGTCATACTGTTAAATTTACATGACAGACTTTTATGATATCACAGTGTTTCAGAGTAGGGGAACAGTGTTCTATCAGTTTCTTCATATTTCTTTCATTAAGATACTAAAGGAGGTTGGGAAATTATGCTGCCATGTTACTCAGGCTACCTATGCCAGCAAAGTAACATTTCTGAGAGATCAGAGCATAATCAGAGCTCAGTGACTTCCCCTGGCCCTGATTCAATACACAGAGCTTGGTTACTTGCAACTGAGCTTCAGTGCTGTTCAACCAGAAACACCACTGGAAAATGCTGACAAAAGGCAACTGTGGTGCTCATTAGCATATTTATAAGATTACAAAACATTCACAGCTCCAATTCTGTTTCCTTCTACCAGCAGCCTCGAATGGAGGAGCAGGTCCATCAGTTTGTATCTCTGCAAGTGCCCAACAAAGGTGTGCTGGTTTTGTGTTCAAACTCCACTTTCCTGCCCTCTCAAAGGTGCAGCTGTCCTTTAGGGCAACAGAAATGTCTGGTCTGTGATATGGAGATTACCAGTCTGCATGGAAGCTGCTCCTTCTACTGCTTTTGAAATCTGCTGGGGGAATTAAGATCCCCAAGGGATGTAATATTTTGTCAGTGCTACTGGTAACATACAGAACTCAGTGCAAAACAAGGTACCTATACTAAGATGTCACAGCAATTATTACACTAAAGCCAGAAACAAATTCAAATCTTACAAGATCCTTCACCTACAATAACTAGGTTTTGAAGGTACAAGGTTTGCATTTAAAATTCTGAAAACCAGTGCAGCATTTAGGTCTCCTTATGAGGGAAAAGTAGGCTGCAAGATCTCATTTAGAAATGCATTGCATAGAAAGTGAAGCTCATAAGACTCTGGCTTTGACTATTCTTTAAAAAAAAAAATCCAGCTTCAAAGAAGAAACTGGAGGCACTGGAGGAGAGCCAAAAAAGTCATACTCAAGTATGGAATATATTAAAAAAAGCTGGATCTCGGATAGAACAAAAATAATATTCCTCTGGGGTTTTTTTGTTTTGGTGGTTTTTGTAGGGTTTTTTTTAAGCATTAAGACTGCTTGGCACTGATATACCCATCTAAACAGTTGGGAAAAGGATGTTTCCCATGAAAATTTGACCAGCACTTTTTAGTATATTGTCTCTTATATATTCTTAATCCTGTTAAAAAAATGAATACTTCTTTAAAAATAGAAATGGAAATTACAATAAAAAGCATAGAATCAATTACATTTCAAGTGTGATAGCTGGAAGGATATAATAATAAACTATTTATGACCTATCCAGGACATAATAATAAATTCTCTTATTTTTATTCTTATTTAATATTGCAGCCTTTCACTTACTCCATTAATATTTACTTCAGAAGCAGCATTTTTTAAATCTGTAATTTTAGCATAAGCTCACTAAAAGTAGTTTTTTAATAATAATTTTAACAATTATTATTTTAAGGGCCCACTTGTTTAGAGGATTTAAGATGAAGTGTATCAACTGAAGTAGGGCTCTGACACTTCAGTGTCCTTGTGGAGCTGTCACTATGTTATTTAGGAGCAGCACTACTAACAGAAGCTATGAGTCATTCAGGCTGTGATTCCACAGTGTATTTCTCCTGTTGGCAAAGCTGACTTAAGCAGTTCCTACCAGCACCTCTCTATCTTAGCAGCTCATTTGTTTTATTCACCTTGCCTTGAGCCCTTCATATTAAGCCTTTGTTTATGCCAATACACAGGTTTGCCACTCTCCAAGGTGAAGCAGACTGCAGAAATTATCTGTTTTTAATAGCTGCACAAACCCTCCTCACACATTTTGGCAGAGATTCCTCTCTCAGAGTAGGGCCCTGATCAGAATAATCAAGCACCCTACCAAACAGACAAGGTGCCATTAGGGTGCCTACAGGCAAGCTGGGGTGAAGAACAGGAGGGAGCAGGGAATTTTTTGTCCAGGTTTACCTCCAAGAGAAATGTTTGTAAAACTGTGATCTTAGAGATTTTATCTTTGGTACAAACGTCCATCTTCACAAACCTGTGGTATCAAAACTGCCTTACAGGCCTAGGGCTTTTCTGTGTGCTTAAGAAATGGCTACAACAACCAGGCTGCAGCTCCTGCTCACTTTCCAAAGGACTAAACTCCAGCCTTAAATGGGAATCTTGTTGGCAAGAGCTGTGTTTGACAGAACAGAACAGCTGCTCTCACCAGAGGCAGGACAGCATGATGGCTGAAGGTATCAGAGTTGACATGAAATGGGTCATTCTCCAAAGGGGTCTTGTACTGCAGAAATGTCCTACACAACTCTGGCCACATGACCACCTCTCAGGGAATCAGAGTTAACCCTTTTGACACCATTGCCAGCTTATCCACAAAGACCTGTGATAAGGAGCTTTCCTCTTGCTCCACTGGTGTCTCAAGATTCCAAGTGCCACATGTCAAGAATTCAAAAAAGCTCAATTTCCACTTACACTGTGTAACAAAGTAAATGTATCTACCAAGATATTAATCTCTATGTTTTCGCCAATTACCAATCCAGATTCCAGTTAAGTTTTCAAATTGAAAATTTTCCTTAAAATCTGACCTCTGTTAGTTTCTTATTCCCTCACTGTAGACTAATCCTTTGCTTTTCTCACACAGCATCTATATTTTAAAGTAAATGCAGTCTCAAGGAGAGTAGCATTTCTTTCAAGACTATTGTGCTGCTTGGTTCTGCAAAAACACCAAGGAATATGATTGAGGCTGCCAAGAACAAATGTTCGTTTCTAAAAGTCATAAATGTACACAGAAATGCATCCTGACCAAGGATTGTTGCAGGTATTTCAAACTCACAGTTAGAGAAGAATTTCTTGACTATACTCAAAGATTTCCATAGGAGGAAGCAGCACTTAAAACATTGCTTTACTCCTTAGTACAAAGATGTTCATAATACTTCCAGACTATTCAAATGTCCTGCATTCTACAATTAAAACGCTTAGGAATTTGAAATTAATTTATCTGTGAACAATTCTGGTACAAAATACCTTGTAAGTAATACACTAGCCAGTTAGAAACTATCCCATAGCTCTTTGTTGCACACAGTAAAGGGCAGCTTGAGGGCACAGTAGCAACACATTGAGGCTCTATTACCTGTTGGAGATAGCAGGGGCAAAAGAATAAAAGGAGAAAGGATTATTCTGAGTACTGCAATATCTTACCGGTCCTTTAGCCAGTCCTGAACAAAAGGGATGGAAAACAATTCTGTAAATGACTCATCTTTCCTCTTTGGATTCTTGCTAAAGAAAAAGGAAAACAACTCATATTAATTTAAATTTCAGCTATTCAATTTGCAAATTAGTGCCTTGGAATCACTGAACATACTTAGTAGCAAAAAACATGATTAACTTACTTGTATAACCACTCAGTTAGGAAATCAGAGGGAATAAATTTGGTTCTTCTTCCCTAAAGATAGAAGATAGTTTCAAATTATTTATTATCTTTGGATTGGTCATATGTTTAAGCTAAATGGACTGCTTTTATTAAATAAAGTATACAGTACATTACTCTGTCTACTCTTTATTGCTACTGCCAACAGTCAGAGGCTCAGCCAAAATTTTAGAAATTTTCTGGAATGATTTCAAGACAAACTATGAATGAGAAAATTCTACATATATTACCTTGATATTTTCTGCAGTATATCTAGAGCAAAGATTTCTGAATGGTGTTCTAAGTGGCAATGTCATTGTGAAGAAATTAACAGAACCCATTCATACATGAAAATATGTTGTAAATTCCTTGCCATTTTGTTTAAAGTTGTATTATCATACTCAAAGTACTTCACTTCTTTCAAGACACATAAGGAGCATTGATTGGATATTGTTTCCTCCTGCATGGAACCATCGTGAAGACATTGTGAATACACACAAACAGAGTATTGTATGGCTGCTCTGACCAAATCATCTGCTGGGTGCAAAAAAAAAGGAAGGAAGGCAAAACCAAAGGAAGGCTTTTGTCTGTCCATAGCCACCATAGCCACAGAAACCATGGAAATTACAGAGAACCAGGTAAGAAGTTCAAAACCTGGAGCTTCACAGCAAAACATTTGTGCCCTTTGCTCCCAGTTCTCAGTCTTAACCAACAAAGTGAATTTTGCAAAATGTTTTGCAGCAGGTTATCCTTAGGGACTTGTACAGCCAGTACCACAGCCAGCCATTCAGAGCCTCAATTTTGATAAGGCCAGAATGGATTAGGAAATCCTCTTTTTTTAAAGGATTTCCTCTCCACATTCCATCTTGACAGATTGAATGTATAAAAGAGTACAGGTGCTCATTCTGCTTATCACAAACCACAGTAACCATAATGTGGACATGGAGTTCTGGTTGGAAGAACAGAAGAGCTTGATCAGTATCTTTAGAATCCCTCTGACATGAGATGTGCTCTGAATGCACACAATCACAGTGAAGCCTAAAAGACATTGAGCCCCGGCAGCCCCAGGGGCACCAAGTCCTTCATCACAATAGCAGCCATTGAGCTAAAAGCAAGCTGAGCTCCCATCCCAACACTTACCCTGTCAAACAGCAGATTTTGCTTCTTAGAAAACAATTCATGAAACACTGGTCAAATGATTTTGTGAAACTGCTTAATATCACAAAAGAGGCTGAAGTCTTGATTAAAATGTAAGAAGCTAAAATACTACTATTACTTGCTAAGGAAAATACAATAAACATGTAATTGAAAATCTAATGCATGAAAAATTACTTTATTCTCTGCATTATCCTCAGATGTGAAC